GCTATTTTACAAAGAACAATTTACAATGAAAACTTACAGGGAATAATGAATATGTATGGAATACAAAACGAAGTAGAAGCAATCAGTGGGTCCATAAAAGCACTGAAACGTAAAAGAGGTTGCTTAAAAGACGAAGAATTTCAGATTGGAAAAATAGTCCTCGAGAAAGTCACATCATTGATGCAAAGAACAAGAAAAATTTTCTTTGAAGAATTTGGTGGGGAGCAAAACAAAACAAATCCAGAGTTCGAAAAGGCTTTATATTTTAAGGCTTCTGCATGGTACACAGTAACATACACTTTGCCAAACCCTAGTTTCCTAAGTTTTCCTTGGGTTGTCGCCGATATATTATGCAAGACAAAGAAAGGACGGAAACAAATCACCGTTATTGAGGAAGTTGATTCATCCCTTGAGCGTCGTTGGAAACTTAAAGAGGAAGAGCACAAAATGGCATCTTATTGGATGGAGCGTTTAAGAAACAAAGTTACACAAAAGTTTCCCAAGTCCATTTACTTTGAATGGATTGATTTATTTGAGAATGGTATTGTTTTACCTGAAAACTGCAATGTAGTTTTGGGATTTCAAAGTGAGGACTATGAAAAAATTCTTTTGACCATGCGAGCTCTTTCTTCTAGTACAAGCAATGATCAATTTGAAAATGATCTCTGTTACAAAATCAATCTGGGAGAGAGCAGGATAGGGATTGTTAGACTGACAGCTGACGAAAGGATTATTAAGTTGAGCAGATCTCTTAGAAGCTTTCTTAAAAAGAACGAATGCATTATACGACACGTAGCCCAATTTTTGTACGATTATTTTATGCAACAAATTGTACCGAAAATTCCTCCTGATGTCATAAAGGACATACTACCAATTATGCTTTTAAAGGAATCCTTTTTAAGGAGCAAAATACTGAATACCTCCTCTGGGGCACAAATTCTTTTTAACTGCTTGAGAAATGTAAGGGTGTTCATACAGAACATATCGAATTGTAAAGACTTGCCTGAAGGTTCTCTGAAATGGCTTATAAGAAACTCAGACGAAATAGTTATGAGTTGCCTGGTGGAATACATGAAAATAGCTCGTTGTTTATCCGTGGAATATTTTAATGAAGATGAAACATTTGAGTTTGAGGTATGGGACACTTTCAAATTCTCATCTGAGTCATTAAACATAATGCATTATGCCGCTGCTTATGCAAAATACAAATTGTCCCAAATAACTGGTGCAGATATGTTTTTCCATCAAGTAGAGGTTGGAAAAACTAAAGCCATACAAATTGATGCACATGGGACAAGGGTTCAAATGTTACGATTTCGAAAGGCCCTCCATGATTTTTTGAAAAAATCTGAAAGCATTACCACTGGAGAACGTGGCCAAACTACAGTGGAAGAGACGTTTTCTGTTTCATTTGAAGGTTGCTCGAACCGTGATGAGCAGTTAACTTTTGACAGGTGGAGTGGACCCTGTCAGAACCAGCACAATAATGAAATTCGTTATCTCCCTTGCTTAGTTCATGCATCCGAATTGCCTGCATGTATTGATTTTGAAAGGACCTTTTCCATGCAATGGGAAAAAATCAAGGATGAATATAACCCAATTTTCCATGGAAATTTATCAATAGTGCTCTCATTTGGCAATTTTTATGTTATGAACGTAGATAAACAAATGATGACAATATCAGAATTGAACAGATATATACAAAGTTATGAAAAAAGACGTTTTGAACTTTTATCAAGAAGACAGAGAGGGGGGTTCATCCGTATTCCTTATTCATTTGCTTTTCTTCCGATAAGTGGACATTACAACAACTTAAGTGAGTGTCTTAATCTAAACTTTGAGAAGATTAATTCAAAAAAAGAGGTGAAAGTCAGACTTGCAAACGAGGGAATGTGTGACCTAGACGAGCATATGAATTGCATAGGATATAGTGCACCTCAAATAAAATGGTTAGTGCATCAAATTGTTCTCACGCCAAAACGAAGAACATTGAATGGTAATCAAATAAGTGTTAGATGCAAAATACAGTCATTTAGATCGTTGGATAGAAAAGCCATTGAATCAATGGAAGGAATGCAATGGCTTCTTGATATTGGAAAACACGTTGTGAAGACTAATGAAGGTTATGACATAACCTCAGAGGACATTAAATTTATAAGAGAAAAAGAAACAGATATTTACGGGAATAGGCACCTAAACATTCACGAGGGAGTATGGCGTTCAATGCGTGTTGGGGTGTCAAAAGTCAAGGAATATCAAGTACGATTCCGTCAATGTACCAAACTTTCAGAAAAAACAGAGTTGGTGATTATTCCGGCCATGCTTGATATAAATTCCTCTGACGAAGAAGTGAATCATTACTCAAAACAATTGTGGGATATTGCACTTCATTTTGGGAAAGAACTTAACGGTTAGAAAACAATGTACATGCATGTGATGACAAATTTTATAATGAGAATATAAATTTGAAAATCTATATTTCTTCATTTCATGTGCAATGTTGTTTTTGCTTTTGATGTGTTGTTAAGTGTCCCACATCAAATACTCACACAAAGAACATGCACATTGTATCTTGTGATAATTATTTATTTTAATAATTTAAATAAATATGATTCTTCTAAATTAAGGTATTCAATGTATAACAACCAAATTTTGTACCTGATAAATGAATGGTCCGAAATGATTAATCATGGTAGCATTATGAAGGTGTGATGAAATAAAATTACTCCACCAAAGGAATTTATCCTATTCATTGCACCATAAATTGTACATTGTCGTCTATGGACAGCGCATACTTTATTAAGATATTGTAAAAGATAATGTGAAGTTCAAATACATATATAGTGAAAATATACATAGCATAAACTCTCTCTCTCTCTCTCTAAAAATATGATTTGAACTAAATCATTTATGGCAGATATTATGACAATATTAAAATTTTCTTTTTTTTCTTCAAGGGCAGAACACTTTTGAGATGTAAAATTATCAGCTTCTTATTTTTTATCAGTCATGTGAATTTGGTTCATATTGGTGATGTATTTTTATCTAGTTTAAAAAGATTCATGTTTTTCTCAAATCCCCTTCCCTTGTTATACATTGAATACCTAGAGATATTTACATCATAAAAAACGTTTCATGAGAAAATAAATAAAGCAAAGTTTATAAAACTCAACTGCACTGACAAGAAAAGAATGTAAAATATTAGTGCCAGAAGGTTATATAAAATTATATTTTGCTTTGTTTTTGGAAACTCTAGTTTTATGAAATCAAAAACTTTCAAGAATTATTTTTTTAAAAATTTACTTTTGTCACTTTCCTAGGTTTTCCGTTACTGTGTCTATTTAAAACAGATGTTACAACAATATTCAACATTATTATCCGCGATGACAAAAAAGGACAATTATTTTTGTTAATATCGCACTTAAATGAAAGAAAAATCACCAAACATCATTAATGATGAATGTTTAAATATCGATTATTACTGATTTAAACAGAATCATTAATTTTTTTTAAAAGTAATTTTAATTTGATGTCAAATTATATAAAAGGAATACCTTAAAGATGTTATACATACTATAAATCACTTTTATTTGCGATAACTTTATTTTCGCGTAATAACTTGAGACAGTGTTCTCGCAAAAATTAAATTCTTGCCTAAAATAGTATTTTTAGGATTATATAAAGCGGTTAACACAATTCGGGAAAATTTCGTCTCTGTTATCAAGAGTAAAAATAAGGTGTCCCAAAAAGTGATCTACAGTTACTGTACTTCTTACATCTTGTTAGCTTTTATTTTTCTGTTTTTTTCCCCTGATTCTGATACTTTGTCGGACGCAGGACGTAGCTTTCCTCTCTCATATTTTTTGTATTTATTTCCTATTTCATTTCCCGGACTTAAGCATTTATTTTTGTTATTTTGATCCCTACTATAAATTATCAATCAAAATGTTATTTTCTTTTCATTTGTCACTTTTTAAAGACCTGTAGAGAAATACATGAACCTTGATCTGTTGATAAAGAAATTGTCGTAATACTACACTTTCAATCTAATATTTTGATTATTGTATTGACATAGTATTATCAATTAACGACAGTTATGTCCATTTATTTATTTACGATGTATCAAAGTGAACTTGAACTAAAAGATACCACAATGATCAACACATGTTTCAAATTTGGATATTTTACCCCCAAAAATGAATACTTTTATAACTACAATACTTTATGATCAACTTTTATTTAATCTACTTATCTTATTTATTCTTGATACAGCAAACCTTTATCACCGCACAAGAAAGTTATTGCTTTCAGTTCATGCAGACAAATATATCAACAGTTTCGTTTAAAATAAATACTCTGCAAGTTCAATGGCAGTTAAAATGACTTACTTTCTTATCTCAAAATTAATATTTCTTAAATTGAGTTTTAAATGTTTATTTATTTTACCCCAAAGCGTAAAGGGCAAACTATTTCACTAAAAAATATGAACTGTACATTCTATGCAAGATCCTATATATATATATATATATATATATATATATATATATATATATATATATATATATATATATATATATATATATATATATATATATATATATTTCTTGAAATGAAGATAGCCCTTTTTGTAGATTTGTTTTTGATTTAATACCAAGTTGGTTAAGAAGGAAACATTATTGAAATAAAAAGTTATGTGAAACACAATTACTTGTTTATATTTAAGATAAATGACAATTAAATACCAGAAACCTTTCTTTAGCGTACACATTTTAATCATAGTAACAAAATAAAAATGTATTTTATATCTTTAATCAGTCTAAACTAATCTCAAGAACATTTAGTAAGCTATAAAAAATATTATGCATTTCATTTTTTTAATTGCAACACAGAAATTCCATTTGATAAATTTATGTCCTGGAACATGAATTTTGAAGAAGTCTACACATAAGATAAATAAACATTTGTTTATCAGTTACCTTATTTTTAAGAAAAGAACTTGTTGGAAACAGCAAAATTAATCATATAAATTTCTGAAGTGACATCTTTAGGTCGTAACTACTTATACTATCGCTCCTTTTACTATAGTTGGAATCATTGGATTCTATACTGTCTAGAGAATACGACTTATTTGACGTCTTTAAACAAAGGTTAGATGGTTGTGCGTCTTCTTCTTCTTCCAAGTAGAATTTCGGATGATTTAGTGGCGTGTTTTCAATTTCTTCGTCATATGAGTCACTGTCATATGGCGTTAGGTTGTCCCTTTTTCTTTGATTATAATCCTTATATTCTTTACTCTTTCTCCTTGTTGACGCACTATATTCTGCCCCAGCGCTGTGCTGTCTTAGTAACATTGGTGCATTACTTTTACGTGAATGTCGAACATATTCATATTTATATCCTTGATCATGATTTGGAGCAAACTGATCCTGTGCAGAATTGGGATAAGAGGATTCCATTCTGTTGGGATAATGTGAATGAAATGGAACACATTTATGTTCAGTTAGCAATGGCTCATCCAATGTGTAATGCACGGAATTATTAAAAGAATCCACATTATGGTCAGTATATTCTTGATTTATTTTACTAGGGCAAGAGTATTGATGCTCTGTCTCTCCAGGGAATATATGATGGTGCTTTTTAAGACAACTTGATCTATCCGAGGCGGAATGAGGATGGTGAGACGTATTTCCCCTGCGCATTTTGGAATGTTCCCCATGTACTGGGCAATAAGGGTTATAAATGGGGATTTCTCCATTAGATGTAGAACTTTTGCTGGAATTGCTAAGATTTGTAGTGTTTTTTTTTTCAATCTTTTTTTTCAACATTGATATTTCTTCATCAAGTTCCTCCTCAGATAAGACATTTGTTTCCTCATTTTCTATTATTTCTTTTTGTTCAGATGTCACTATCATTGTATCATTAGAATTATTAATATTTGTATTTATTGCTAGTACGGCGTTTTCTAGACTGGAGTCTTTGTTAATATTTACTTGTCTTAAACGTTTATGTCCCTGTAAAAAAGCTGCTAAGTCTCCAGATTTCTTAGGAATACAAAATACACGCACTTCCTTTCGTATATCACTTGAAATCGACCCTTTATGTGCCTTGTCAAAATAGACACACGCTATCCTTTTATCGTCGTTTGTTTTTGAATTTAATGCAAAGGTGACACCAACATTAAACTCGTTAGATTTTGTGCCTTCTTCTGCTTTAGTATCAGATCCAGGGGTCCACAAAATAATGGCAGCTGGTAGGTCCTCTAGTTTTTCCATATACCATGATGCATATCCTACGTCTTTTATTTTGGTCATCTCATCCTTCAGTTTATCGTAAATTATTTCTATTTGCAACTTTATTCTGCAAAACTTTGCAAATTCCGTTGCTAAAATAATGTTTTCTTTTCGGTTATCGGAGTAAATCAAAAGTATCTTTAGATTATCATACATCTCTGAAATTATAAAAAAATAAATCAATTTAATTAATATCTTCTTGTTTGTGGAGAGGGCTTAAATAGGCTATGCCTCCTGCCCAATCCTTTATGTTCTTATTACATTACAAAATATATTCAAATCAAATCAAATCCTGTTTTTTGTACTTCTGAGAACTACTGGCAATGAAAATTCAAATCTGCACACATATACAAAATGCTCACTTGAAATTTGTCCTTTAAATTGTATCTTTTAAACCAATAAAGAATGAATGATATTGTGAAACATTACATCAGAATATTAAAGACTATAACAACACATGAACAACTATAACATATTCTCTTCGATATTCTGGAATAAAAATCAGAACAAACCTGTGTCTTTTGGGGACAAATTGTTCCTCCATCGATAGTACATGTAGCATAAAATGACCAACAGTAAAACCCCCACAACCACTCCCCCTATGACAGACAGTACTGTGTTTTCAGTGTGATCATTTCTTCTGACTCCTAGAAAAAAAAATTACAAATTTTATTTTTTTGAAATTCATGCGCTGTACCTCAAAAATTTGCAAAATTGATACGTCACTCAATAGCATACGTTGTTTAGTGTGTATACAAAATCAAAGATACAGCAGTAATGTTCATGCATTTATTCTAAAATGACATTAGTCCTTCACAAAAATCTAGAGATATACATGAACTACAACCATGCTCATTTTTCTTATTTAGGGAAGCCGACTGAGATTTTATTGTGCGAATACTACAATAGCGAAACTCTAATTTTATAACAAACATTACTTACATTGACTTCAATCTACTTGCCAAGTTTGGGAAAAATCTACCGTCCAGGTATTTTAGAGGGACCGTCTCAAAATACAGGTATATTTACTTTAGGATTATATAGGAAAGTGTCGATTTTTCGCACTTTAAAGCAAATTATGCAAATACTACAATAGACAGGTTACAATTTATAATGAGTTATACTATATTGTATATTAAATGTAAGAAACACTAAATTCGACCGTCTGGTTTGCACACAAGCCAATCGATTGATCACCGTCATGAAATCAAAAAGACTGACAGTTATTCCTTATATTTACATGCTCTTGATTTAACACATTCACGTGCTACAAGTCCCGCTTCTTTCCGCCCTGCTCATGATATTTTTTAACCACACCTATAGAAGAATCACTGGATTTATGTAGAAATAAAGTATTTTTACTATTTTGTAATTTTATCTCGGACGAAGAGATTGGATATATGCAAATATATTTTAAGCCAAAAATCTTGATCAATTGGATCTTCCTTTAAAAATAGATAAGACTATATAAGATTAAAATACCAACAAAGATTCGAAGTGCTGGAATGTATCGCATTCATTATTTTCTGTATATCATATATACTTACTGCTACTGATTCAACATGTCATTAATTTTTATACCTGAAAACTTTCCCTTGTTCATAGGATTTCCAACTTTGAAAAAAGAAGACTTTGTGAATCTACAACTATCTGAACATTTTACATCTGTAGTAATGACTTCTATCTAAAAAATAAAGCTATATATTTATAGCTTCATTCTAATTGTTACATCATAATTACCTGGTGTTTAAACTGAAAATTAAAAAAAAACTAATTCTTCTAAAAAATATTAATCTTCCAATGATGATGAGCACCCTGTCTTATTTATTTCATTTTTCGTTCATTAAAGTCTGTTAGAATGACTTGTTGTAAGCTCATTTTAAAACAGAAGTTACATTCAAAAAGGTATGTCAATATACTCACTGATACATAATAATTCCCATCCACCACATCTTCAAAACAATATCTTTGATTTGCAGTAAGAATATTTTTGTACGTTTTATTCAGATCAATGCTAAACAAGGACACATTATACATTGTTACTGCTATAGAATCGGGTACTCGATCAAAGAAGATTGTGACGTCATTTTCTTTGGGGAAGAAAGCAACAGCAATTGTAGACTTCTATAGCTGTGGGTGATACACTACAAGAAATAGATACATATTATACTGTATTTAAATTCTTAAAATACCTATTGCAAAAATTAAATCTCTAAGTATTCTCTATTTTTTTTAAAATGAATTACATGTAAATATTAAAAGTAATTTGAACTTTAATTTGTTTCCCTATTCTTTTGATTTTTTTTTAAATATACACTTAACATTCCTCTGAACATGAGATGAATGTGTCTTATAATAAATTTTTTAATAAGTGGTTAAATTGACGTCAAATTTAGAAGAAAGAAAAAATAATAATAGTGCTCTTATTTGGCAATTTTTATGTTATCAACGTAGATAAACAAATGATGACAATATCAGAATTGAACGGATATTTACAAAGTTATGAAAAAAGACGGTCAGAACTTTTATCAAGAAGACAGAGAGGGGTTTTTCATCCGTATTCCTTATTCCTTTTCTTTTCTTCCGATAAGTGGACATTCCCACAACTTTAGTGAGTGTCTTAATCTAAACTTTGAGAAGATCGAAAACAAAAAGAGGTGAAAGTCAGACTTGCAAACGAGGAAAATGTGCGATCTAGACGAGCATATGAATTGCATAAGATATAGTGCTCCTCAAATAAAGTGGTTGGTGCATCAAATTGTTCTCACGCCCAAACGAAGGACATGTAATGGAAATCAAATAAGTGTAAGGTGCAAAATACAGTCATATAGATCGTTGGACAGGAAAGCCATCGAATCAATGAAAGGAATGCAATGGCTTCTTGTCATTGGAAAACACGTTGTGAAGACTAATGAAAGTTATGACGTAACCTCAGAAGACATTAAATTCATAAGAGAAAAAGAAACAGATATTTATGGAAACAGGCACCTAAACATTCATGAGGGAGTATGGCGTTCAATGCGTGTTTCAGTGTCATAAGTCAAGGAATATCAAGTACGATTCCGTCAATGTACCAAACTTTCAGAAAAAACAGAGTTGGCGATTATTCCGGGTATGCTTGATATAAATTCCTCTGACAAAGAAGTGAAACATTACTCAAAGCAATTGTCGGATATTGCACTTTATTTTGGAAAACAACTTAACGATTAGAAGACATTGTACATGTATGTGGCCACAATTTTTATGATTATAATAAAAACTTTTAAAAATCCACATTTCTGCTGCCCAGTGGGGATCCGGGTTAGAATAGGTCCTCAGTACCCCCTTGCTTGTTGTAAAAGATAAGGCGACTAAATGGGGCGGTCCTTCGCATGAGACCGTATAAACCGAGGCCCCGTGTCACAGCAGGTGTGGCACGATAAAGATCCGTCCCTGCTCAGAGGCCGTAAGTGCCGAGCATAGGCCTAAATTTGCAGCCCTTCATCGGCAATGGTGACGTCTCTATATCAGTGAAATATTCTGGAGAGTGACGTTAAGGTGATTTGAACGTGACGAAATCAAATCTACCGCGCAACTCGAACTGCTGAAAATAGGCTGATCACTGCTGATGTCGTGATACTAATAATTACGTCTCATTTTGTTATAAAAGTAATTTAATGGACCACAAGCAACGATTTGAGAGACAAATAAAGTAATTTTCAATAGAATTCTGATAAAATCATTCAACATTGGCTTTTCGAGTCTTCTTCCGACATTAGGAATTTACGACAATTCCCTGGCCGTTTTCCGCCACCATGTTGACAGAGAGACAGTCTCTTATTTTCAAAGAAAAAAAACACTTTATTCGGTTGTTTTTGTATCCAAGAAGTGTACTGATCTATGCTGTTTGGTACCTTGCAACAACAGTTCAGGCGATTTTATTTCTAGGGTCAGCCTGCACGACAAGATCAAGATGTACACCATGATTTTCAGGTAAATCCAACAAAACGTTCCGACCGAGCCTTCTTGTTCACTATGTTTAGTACGTAATGTCTTCTAAAAAGACACCATGATTTTCAGGTAAATCCAACAAAACGTTCCGACCGAGCCTTCTTGTTCACTATGTTTAGTACGTAATGTCTTCTAAAAAGACACCATGATTTTCAGGTAAATCCAACAAAACGTTCCGACCGAGCCTTCTTGTTCACTATGTTTAGTACGTAATGTCTTCTAAAAAGACACAGTTTATTTACATCATGGTGAAAGGTTAGCTAATCGAGTAAATGCAGAAGTATAATATCATGAATATGATCTATGTACGCTTTTGTCTCATCTCGAAAATGAAGGGAAAAAAATTTCACATGGCTGCTATGGGCAGTGCATAGAATGAGTCAATGAGAATGACACCATTGATGATTGATGCAGTGAGTTCTTATTCTCGTGATAAAGATATTTTGTACTTGTCCTTTAAAACAATATTGAATTTATTCACACAAATGAGAAAATAGCAAAAAATCATGCACATTTCATGATTGGTCATTGAATGACGGAAAAAAAATAGTTCCCTTGTTTACAATTACAAACTTGATGTAAAATAGCATGATAAAAAGTCTTTGTAAAAAAAAAAAACAAAAAAAAAACAGTTGACCAATTATTATATTATATGTATTCTCATTTTATGAAACATTATTGAGGACACTGATTCTAAGTTCATGTTTACAGCACACATTCATTTATTAGTTTTTGTTCGGAAGTAATTTATAAAAAGGAAGGTCTATAAAATTTTCAGAGAAGTCTATAAAATCCACACGTAAGTTGAATACTGTCAGATAAGTGATTAATTTTGTTTTCTCGATAGGTTTTTAATAACCGCCAAAGGAACAGACTGGAGTTTCCATCAGTAAGCAGTCAAAATGTACAACCTGAGTCAACACTTGCAGTATAATCCCTTTGATCCAGATGTGCTAAAAGACAACTGTGATGCTTAAACCATCTGGCTGGGTATGAAAAATTTATAATTCTACATTGATAAACTTTTCAAATTTTAAAAATTAAACTTGCTAAAATTATTATAGTACATGTCAGACTGATAAAATGTACTTATTACTGTATACCGGGAAATTTTGCCCCGTTTTATTGTTGCCCCTTTCACCCTGACCTCGGTTGGGCGAATTCAAAGATTACAGCACATTTTAACTCCCTGTATTATCTGCAAAATTAATGTAATTCAAAATCCTTTGTATTATCCTTGGGGTAAGTTTTTATTAATGAAAGAGTCATGCCAAATCTACTAAATGAATGCTAAACTCTTCAATTTGAGAGTGAATTTTGATTTTCCATATGATGTCGCATGGTATTCAAGGTTTGTGACATAAACATATAATTGAAAAAAACTTAATATAATCTTTTGAGCTTACTGTCAATGTAATTTTGTATTATATGCCCCCAATTCTATGCATTTCATAGGCTAAATACATGTGGAATGTAAATATTATTTTGTAGGTATCATGCTATTTTATTTCATTGGAACTATTACTGTTAGAATATCAATAATCAGTCAGTAATAGGTAATTTTATAATCGATATGTTACATTATTACATGTGTATTCAGTGTCCACCTGTTAATAAGGCTGTAACTGAAGTAAAGTTTTTTTCAGGCTAAGAATCTCATCTGTGTTGAATTTGGCCACATGTCAACATGACTGAGGTGTTTACACTCGAGCTGCAATGAAAGACCTAAAATGTTCATCAGAATTTTACCAATTGAAAGCCACAGAAAGTCAAGATTGAAGTTGGAAAAATAAAAGGGAAGAAGCATTTGTGTCAGAACCTCCAATAAGATTTAAAGCACTTCTGTACAGACCTGCTGCATACATGAAAATGATATACTTTTTGAGGAACTTTTGTAATACACTGTAATAAATCCGTCTTTTTTCCATTCAGTGTGCCCATTTATGTTATTCCGAAGTTTAAGCTTGCAAAAGTTAATCAATGATACATTATACATATATTACATGGCTTCAAGGGCAGCATACTAGAATATTTGCCCCTCGGTGACAGGAAAGCCCTGGAGTGTTATGTTGCTCGATGCCGAAGGCAGAGGGTGACATAACACTCCAGGGCTTTCCTGTCACAGAGGGGCAAATATTCTGGTATTAATGCCCAAGAATTAAGCCATGTAATATATTAGGGATGGGTATCGCCAAAAATTTCGTATCGCGATATATCACGATTTTTTTCCCACAATATCACGATAAAATCATGATATTTTTAAAAGCAGTTTTTACATTGATTTTATATGAAAAGTCATTATTTTTCTAAAAAATTTGCTTGAAAAACAAAATTTTATTTTCTAAAAATATTTATGTATTTAAAATTAACTATGTTTGGACGATAAAATGCCGTTCTTTTCACGTTTTACAACATTTTTATACTTTCTGTAATTGTAATTTGAAAGGATTAAACAAATAAATGAATAATTTCTACACTTTATAATATGTACTTAAATACCGGTATTTAGGTCTCCGTATCACGATACGTATCACGCAACAAAAAATCGCGATATACCGGTATACCGATAAAATCGCACATCCCTATAATATATGGTATGGTATATAACTTTTTTAATCATTGAAACCCTAATCGATCATCGAACATATTTATTGAACACTAGGCCTATGTAAACATGTACGTTGAGTATAATTCAGAAATATCCCGTCCTGTTTCATGGCAGAGAGTTTTCAGTACACTGACAAGTTGATAACCTTTGTTGTATTTAAGGATTTTTTCTCCTCAATTAAATTATTTAATTCATCTAAATTCAAATAAACAAATCACAGATGTTGTCCAGACTTTTTAATTTTAGCAGAACTGTTTACATTTGCTTAACAACTGCCTCTGTAAATTTCGAACCCAACATATTTAATACACAGAATGATTGCACGCGAGGGAACATAACTGTGTTTGGGAGGGCAATATAACTGTTTCTGGTGGAACATAACTATATCCGGCGTGATTAAGCAGTTTTTCAGGGCATATTGATAAAAATATTATATTTGTGATAAAATGGGAAAACTTCTTCAAAAATGTTATATAAGTGTTTTGACATTTTTGTCATTCGTTTTTTCTAGATTTTTAAAAAAATCTTTAAAATTCCTTTTGTGTGTGTTTGTGTTCAGAAAGAGGAAATTTGGATTGTAAACCGTCGATCTTATTCTTAATTTACTGAAATTGGGTCATATGTATATCATTTATCATTATGTTCCATATTCCAATATGATATATAATATTTTAAATGGCAGGGAAAGGTCAGTCCATGGATATATATTTTTATACCCCCGCTCTGAAGGAGAGGGGGGTATACTGTTTTTCCCTTGTGCGTCTATCTGTCTGTCTGTGTGTCCATCCGAAACAAATTTTCGTCGCAGTTTTCTCAGCAAATACTCATCTTATATGCGTGATATTTTAACACAATCTTCTCTGAGGCATGCCATATGGTGGATTACATTTTAGCTCAAATCCAGTGTCAACTTCCTGTTTGTCTGTGCATCTGTCCGTTTCATACATAACAACTTTTCGTCGCAGTTTTCTCTGCAACTACTCATTGTAGATGCTTGAAATTTTAACACAATCTTCTCTAAGGTATGCCATATGTTTAGCTACATTTTTTTTTTCAAATCGGATATCAGCTTCCTGTTTGTCTTTGCGTCTGTCTGTTTCACACAACAAATTTTCGTTGCAGGTTTCTCATTTAGCTATTCATAGCGGATGCTTGAAATTTTATTACACTCTTTGTTGAGGCATGCCATATGGTGGGATTAATTTTGATATGAATCTGATGTCAACTTCATATTTTTCTGTGCATCGGCCTGTAATTGAACTTGTGTATATTAACATGATAGTGTTTACTAGTATTTACATCAGAGCGGGGGTATTACTTGTGAGCATTGGCTCACAGATTTCTTGTTTTTATTAAGGCAAACACTTTACATTATTGGTTTGTTATTTTAAAAAAATCAGAGGAAATTCAGATTTGTAATGTGCACTTTTTTCACCTGAACTGTGCAAATATGTCAGTGTTATTTTCTAAATTAGGTATACATATAAAATCTTGAAAAAATTATTAAAAATTTTACATCATGATATTGTGTTATTTGTTTAATTCGCCAAGAATCAATTCAAAAGTTTAAGGTTAAAAAAAGCATAGGAAATTCGGAAATTGAATGAAAATTTTAAAATTCTTTAAAATTTACTTTATTTTTTCTTCAAAAGTATTATTTAAAGTTTGTTTTTAACATATTTTATTAAATAAATTGACATTGATTAATTTTGATTAAGCTGTATAGCCTCAATTGCCAATATATGTGTTCCGGGGTAATTTTTAAAAATAGACCAGAGGAAATTCGGATTAGAATATCTTTTTATTTGACTCATGACCATACCAATTTCTCCCCTCTGTTACTTAGCTATTCATCTCTTATTTAAAATAAAGGTTAGAAAAAAAATATCCAATTACTTTTAGTGTGTTTTTATAACCATTTTTGTTGTCAAGGTTAAGAAAAATGGACAATTTTTAAGACGACAAAGGAAATTCAGACTGTCGTAGAATGTTGTTGGAATGTACTATCTATGTGTAAAAATGATAACATGATGTTGATATGTTACCCTTTTTTATACATGAAAATATATAAATTCTGATTATAATTTGTAAGTTTTTTAATACTTTTTTTACTGGCAGTGGGATTTTTTCACAGATTTTACATTTTCAAACAAGGGCATATTCAGAGGATGTTGCCATGGAAACGAGCGCATTAACATATAATTTTTTTCATGATTCTTAAACCACAAACTTGTCCTTTATCTGAAGGTAACCATCTTTTAAAATTCCAATTACTTTCACGACAGGTTCGAATCACCTTAAACAGTATACAATCAATCAATCAATCATTTCATGAGCAAGGTTGCTTTTGATGTGTTGTTAAATGTCACATAACAAATATTCACACAAAGAGCATGAACATTGTATCTTGTGATAATTATGTAACAGTTCTTAAAGTTGCTCAGTCAGTAAATATGTGTCCAGAATGGGTCGAAATGATTAATCATGGTAGAATTTTGAAAGTGTGATGAAATAAAATTACTCCCCAAATTTTTTTTTTAAATTATTGTCTAATTTATTGCACCATAAATTTTACATTGATATCTATGGATATCGAATATGCCGGCGTGAAGCGTTGTAGTTCATAAACCTCATGAATCTTCAAAAATTAAATTCATTTTTTATATTTACATCATTTTTGGAGATATTCATGCTTATTCCTGATACATACCTAATGTAGTTCATGAGAAAATATACTGCATTTTATTTTGTTAAGAATCATAGGGGAAATTTATTGGAAATGTAAATATTAGAAAATATACTGAGCATTTATGCAAGATCCCACATTTTAAATTTCTAGGAGTACTTGTTTCCTCCCCTTTTAACAGATTTGTATTGTTAGTAGTTTCTTGAAATGGATCATTGTTCGTTTTTTCTAGTCATGAAGAGAAATTAAAACGGTTCTGCAATAAAGTAATCAGCAGCAGGTATACGTCGTATGTCAAGCATTGACAAATTTGAACGATTAAGGACAATTCTTTTCAAACTAGAGGCACTGTGAGCTAAATGATACCCCCGCCTCCCATATGAATAAATTGGCAGTGTCCATGTTTGCTCTGGAAAATTTAGAATATATATCAGATCAAAAAGTAAAATAGGAGGTCACAATGGCAATATGTAATAAAGATTCTATGAAAGTTTCATTAAATTTCCTTCAGTGGTATGAGAGGAGTTGCGGATAAGAGATGGGTACCCCAAAGCGTAACAGACGGACGGACGGACAGACGGAAATACCGATTACTATATACCCTCCCGTAACATTTAATGATATGAATAAAATCATTCAATTTTCTGTAGTTGAAACTGTACATTCTTGCTTCCATATATACGAGGGCCGTTCAAAAATTACGATGACTATGCTATTATTTACTCTTACAGACGTCATAGAGTTATAAAATTTCACAGAAATATGTATCTCAAAGATTTCCTATAAATTTTGGGCAAAATTTCTGTATTTTAAAAAGATTTATACTAAAATTATCGGTATATTAATATCGCTGATTTAGAGGTACGGAGCACGACAAAAAATTGAAGCAAAAGCATGCGGAATCCAAAATTTAACTCATTTATTTTCTATAATTCGCAATATTTTTCGACAATTTACTCAAACGTATCTTTAAATTGTTCTACTATTATGTATCTGGATTTCTGGCGTGATATTTGAAGTACTAAAAGAAATATAGTGATTTTCCTCTGATGCGATCCCCGTGAAAACGACTGTGAAAATGACGTCTCGTGAATTGACGGCGCACCACACTTTAGTTAAATTATGTGTAATGCTCGAGATATCGCCAACATAGATCCAAAATATGCATAATAAAACACGTAGTAAACCAGGGTATTCGTGACATTCGTCCACAAATAGTAAATAGGAATTTTAGACCATTAGACCTCTGTAAAATGTCTACACTGGAGGACGGGAAGAGGATTATCGGCGAAAACTTTATCTGGAATGTAAAGAACGTGATTGAGAGTCATCAATATCACACTATCTCATAAATACCTACAGTTTTTGGTTTTAAAAAAAAAAAGAATATTCTTTACTTGTTTAGTAGATTTAAAGCTTGACAAGAAATTGTGTTTTGATGTTGAGTAGATAAGATGACTCAAACTGTACAGGTACTCTTGGGAAAATGTTGAGAAAAGAAAAGCTCAATCACATATTTTTTTTAATGATGTGAACGTCGAAGATTTTGGCAATTTGCTGCTCCGTGACTAAATGATATGTCCTGAAAAATCACTCAAAATTGATACCGATTTACAACATTTTGATATGAAATTTTGTAGACCATATAAGTAAAGATTCTTTTATATTATGTGCAATATTTTTCCCGATTATGTTGTCAAATAATTTTTCTGTGCAGCAAGTCCGCGTAATTTTTGAACGGCCCTCGTATATAAATTATAAACTAAAGTCAGCCCTTTTGTAGATTACATACGAGACTGTTAATATGATTTAATACCAGATAGAGGTTGGTTAAAAAGGAAAGTTCCTCAAGGTATTTTTTAAATCTCATCCGAAAATGCAATTTTTGAAATAAATAAATTATTCTACACAATTACATGTTTATATTTATGATAAATGCCACTTAAATACTAGAAACGTTTCCTTAGTACACATTTTAATCATAATAACATAAACGACACAAGAAATATTTCAAATAAGAAAGAAAAATAAAAATGTATTTTTGTATTTTTAATCAGTCTTAACTGATCTCATAAACATATAATAAGGTAAAATAAATATTATGCATTTCATTTTTTTAATTGCAACACAGAAATTCCATTTGATATATTTATGTTCTAGAGCATGAATTTTGAAGAAGTCTACACACCAGATAATTAAACATTTGTTTATCATATACCTTATTTCAAGACGCGGACTTGTTGGAAACATTTTAATGATCATATAAATTTTTGAAGCGACATCTTTAGGTCATAACTACTTATACTGTCGCTCCTTTTACTATAGTTGGAATCATTGGATTCTATACTGTCTAGAGAACACGACTTTTTTGACGTCTTCAAACAAAGATTGGATGGTTGGGTGTCTTCTTCTTCTTCCAAGTAGAATTTCGGATGATTTAGTGGCGTGTTTTCACTTTCTTCGTCATATGAGTCACTGTCATATGGCGTTAGGTTGTCCCTTTTTCTTTGATTATAATCCTTATATTCTTTACCCTTCCTTCTTGTTGACGCACTACTATATTCTGCCCCAGCACTATGCTGTCTTAGTAACATGGGTGCATTGCTTTTATGTGTATGTCGAATATAATCATTTTTGTATCCTTGACCATGATTTGCAGCAAATTGATCCTGAGCAGAATTGGGAAAAGAGGATTCCATTCTGTTGGGATAATATGAATGAAAAGGAACACCTTTTTGTTCAGTTAGTAATGGGTCCTTCATTATGTAATGCACAGAATTATTAAAAGGATCAATATATTGGTCAGAATATTTTTGATTTATTTTACTAGGGCAAGAATGTTGATGCTCTGTCTCTACAGGGAATATATGATGGTGCTTTTTAAGACAACTTGATCTATCTGCGGCTGTATGCGGATGGTGAGATGTATTTCCCCTTCGCATTTTGGAATGTTCCCCATGTATTGGGCAATCAGGGTTAACAATGGGAATTTCTCCATTGGATGTAGAACTTTTGCTTGAATTGCTAAGATCTGTAGTGTTTTTTATAATCTCTTTTTTCAACAATGAGATTTCTTCATCTAATTCTTCCTCAGATAAGACATTTGTTTCCTCATTTTCTATTATTTCTTTTTGTTCAGATGTCACTAACATTGTATCATTAGATTTATTAAAATTTGTATTTATTGCTAATAGGGCGTTTTCTAGACCGGAGTCTTTGTCAATATTTACAAGTCTTAAATGTTTACGTCCCTGAAGATAAGCTGCTAAGTCTCCAGATTTTTTAGGAATACAAAATACACGCACTTCCTTTCGTATATCACTTGAAATCGACCCTTTGTGTGCCTTGTCAAAATAAACACACGCTATCCTTTTATCGTCGTTTCTTTTTGAATTTAATGCAAAGGTGACACCAACATTAAACTCGTTATATTTTGCGCCTTCTTCTGCTTTAGTATCAGATCCAGGAGTCCACAAAATTATGGCAGCTGGTAGGTCCTCTAGTTTTTCCATATACCATGATGCATATCCTACGTCTTTTATTTTGGTCATTTCATCCTTCAGTTTATCGTAAATTATTTCTATTTGCAACTTTATTCTGCAAAATTTAGCAAATTCCGTTGCTAAAGTAATGTTTTCTTTTCTGTTATCGGAGTAAATCAAAAGCATCTTTAGATTATCATGCATCTCTGAAATTATAAAAGAAATAAATCAATTTAATTAATATCTTGTTGTTTGTGGAGAGGGCTTAAATAGGCTATGCCTCCTGCCCAATCCTTTATGTTCTTATTACAGTACAAAATATATTCAAATCAAATCAAATCTTGTTTTTTGTACTTCTGAGAACTACTGGCAATGAAAATTCAAATCTGCACACATATACAAAATGCTCACTTGAAATTTGTCCTTGAAATTGTATCTCTTAAACCAATCAAGAATGAATGATATTGTGGAAACATTATATCAGAATATTAAAGACTTTAACAACTATAACATATTCTCTTCGATATTCTGGAATAAAAATCAGAACAAACCTGTGTCTTTTGGGGACAAATTGTTCCTCCATCGATAGTACATGTAGCATAAAATGACCAACAGTAAAACCCCCACAACCACTCCCCCTATGACAGACAGTACTGTGTTTTCAGTGTGATCATTTCTTCTGACCGCTAGAAAAAAATTTCAAATTTTATCTTTTTAAAACTCATATTGCGCTGTACCTCAATGAATTGCAAAATTGATACGTCACTCCATAGTATACTTTGTTCTGTTTGTATATAGAATCAAAGAGTAATGTTCATGCATTTATTCTAAAATGACATAAGTCCTTCACAAAATTCTAGAGATATACATGAACTTCAACTATGCTCATTCTTCTTATTTAGGGGAGCCGACTGAGATTTTATTGTACGAATACTACAATAGCGAAACTATAATTTTATGACATACATTACTTACATTGACTTCAATGTACTTGCCAAGTTTGGGAAAAATCTACCATCCTGGGATCGTCTCAAAATACAGGTATATTTACTTTAGAATTATATAGAAAAGTGTCGATTTTTCGCACTTTAAAGCAAATTATGCAAATACTACAATAGACAGGTTATAATATATAATGAGTTATACTATATTGTATATTAAATGTAAGAAACACTAAATTCGACCGTCTGAATTGCACACGAGCCAATCGATTGATCATCGTCATGAAATCAAAAAGGCTGACAGTTATTCCTTATATTTACGTGCTTTTGATTTAACATATTCACGTGCTACAAGTCCCGCTTCTGTTCGCCCTGCTCGTGATATTTTTTAACCGCATCTATAGATGAACCACTGGATTTATGTAGAAATAAAGTATCTTTACTATTTTGTAATTCTATCTCGAACGAAGAGATTGGATATATGCAAATATATTTTAAGCCAAAAATCTTGATCATTTGGATCTTTCTTTAAAAATAGGTAAGACTATATAAGATTAAAATACCAACAAAGATTAAAAGTGCTGGAATGTATCGCATTCATTATTTTCTGCAGAATATTTACTTAAAGACTGCGCTACTGATTCAACATGTCATTAATTTTTATACCTGAAAACTTTCCCTTGTTAGGATTTCCAACTTTGAAAAAGGAAGACTTTGTGAATCTACAACTATCTGAACATTTTGCATCTGTAGTAATGACTTCTATCTAAAAAATAAAAAAAATGTCAAAACTTAATATTGTATTTATAGCTTCATTTTAATTGTTACATAATAATTACCTGGTATTTAAACTGAAAATAAAAAAAAAATACACTAATTCTTCTAAAAATATTAATCTTCCAATGGTGATGAGCACCTTGTCTTATCTATTTTATTTTTCGTTCATTAAAGTCTGTTAGAATGACTTGTTGTAAGCTCATTTTAAAACAGAAGAGGCATTCAAAAAGGTATGTAAAAATACTCACTAATACATAATAATTCCCATCCACCACATCTTCAAAACAATGTCTTTGATGTGCAGTAAGAATATTTTTGTACGTTTTATTATGTTCAATGCTAAACAAGGACACGTTATATATTGTTACTGTTATAGAATCGGGTACTGGATCAAAGAGGATTGTGACGTCTTTCTCTTTGGGGAAGAAAGCAACAGCAATGGTAGACTTCCATAGTTGTGGGTGATACACTACAAGAAATAGATACATATTATATTTAAATTCTTAAAAAACCTATTGCAAAAATAAATCTCTAAAAATTGTTTTCTCTGTTCTTTTGGTTTTATAATATACACTGACATTGTTCTAAACATGAGATGGATTTGTGTTATAATAATAAACAAAAGTGGTGAATTCGATGTCAAATTCATTAGAAATAAACAATAATAAAAAAAATTAAATACTAATAAAAGGAAAATTAACGAAAAACTAATTAATACAAGTTTGTTTATCGAAAATTGTAAGAATATGAATATAATAATTAATTATGTACCATAAAAGTTGTAAATCGTGATGTTGTAAGACAGTTCAGAGTATGGTGTTTCCTCAAGACTTGTTTTCTTCTGGGAGAAGGCTTTCAAGGTAAGTGTGTATACTTTGTAGTTGTCAGATGGACATGGCTCATGGTGATAACCCATGAAACATGGAAAACTAAGAACTCTCTGAAAAAAATTTAACATTTATTATTATATGTTTAGAAGAGGAAACGTCTAAAAGCATTACAGTCTGTACCAGAAAAAAATCTAAATATTACAAATAAAATTAGAGTATGTGTTCAAGCTTGTACATAAAAAAAAATATTTTTCTCTAGGAGATAAGATATATGTATACAGAAATTAATGCTTGAATTGATATAAAGTTTTAGACATATTTGGGGTATAAACGATGCAAATACATGTATAACATTTCTAAAATATAAGAAATTTTTTACTCCCTATCATGTTATAAATTCAACCTTATCTTATAAATATTTACAATAATTTTTTCTCACTTTATACGACCTTATTAAATTTTTATGGTATATAAAATATAAAAATGACTAGATATTTAGAGCTTTTTAAGAGAAAGTTCGTTTGTATCACATTTTCCAAAGTGATTTGTTTGAAAATAAAAGCAACTTTAAAGAATTACACAATGAATGAAATAGGTATATATGTATTCATATCTTTTATGTAATTTGGTGTTGTACACAAATACAGATTAGAACATGATATGAAGATTTCATTTGATGAATTCTAATACCAAATCTGTTTTGCTGATGAAGATGAATAAGAAAGTTTTGTGTTAGTTTCAATGATTGAAACCACGCACCAAAATAAAATACACATATGTAATCAATTTAGGCAATGGACATAACCAGGAACTTGTATAAATAGATTGTGTACAATGTTGAAATGATTAAGGAATGACTCTAATTCTTGGCCAGATTATCGAGTATAATATGGTTTGGGTCAGTTTACGCTTTATAATCCGCGAAGCGGATTATAAAAAAGCGTAAACTGACCCAAACCATAATACTCGATAATCTGGCCAAGATTTAGAGTCATTCCTTATAATTTAATTTTAAAATAATTAAACAACTGGGGATGTAGAATTGTGTTGTTTTTATTATCAAATTTACCGCGCAATAATACAACCGTAGTAACGGAAGTGATGGGAAGCAAGGGGAGGTAAAAACTGATACATAGATCTAGCAGCCATGATGCTTGTTTACATGAGGTAAGATCGAGCAACTGTTTGAAGTTAAAGGTACATTCATTAAATCTGGAATTTTTCATGAATCCGAAGGACTGGAAATGAGGGGATTGATGGATACAGATGATTCAGCTGGTTGTCAAGGGGGTGTGTCTCCATACCAAACCAAATACAAAATGTTATGCGTTCCTTTTTGGAAATCAACCAATGAGAGACAAGAATACAAACAGAATTAAATTATTGACAGATAATTGAAAAGCAATAGGATCTTTTTTAAAATGGAAAAACATAGCGTTAATACGTGCAGTTTACGATTAAAAAAGAAGAAATCTTCCAAAATGAAAACAAATTACTGCAAGACCATAAACAATGTTATGGCAATCAATAGAAGTGGTGACGAAGGTAAATAAAAATTATGACATAAACCACAGTTTAAAACGAACAATATGCAGGATGTTTCAAATTACTAGGAAACACGTTGAATTACCTGATGATTTTTATCACTGTCAGGACTTGAATAGCTATAATTAGAAAAGTCCAAGAGCCTATACCGCTCGTCAAATGCGGGGTCATCGCTGCTGGAAAATGTCATAGATATTCCACCGGTATCTATACGTGATATAAACAAAGAATCCGAATACATGGCCAACTACGATTAATATAAAACGTATTATCTTCCTTGTTCAATTTTATCCTTATTGCCACTTACCATACAAAATATTTTCCAATAAAAACATTAAAAGTTCTAGGTTATCTTTTTACGAGATAATAAAGATATCATCTGCTGTTTCATGGAGACAAAATGAAGAGTCTTCTATGTATCTAATCATTTCACAATGTTATTCTAGCGTAGCAACCTGACACGTATCATGTACAAGAAGAGAGGAGATTATTGCATATTTCTCGGTTATGGTAATGCAATATCGCAGTTTATCATGTAACTTAATATAAAAAAAAACTTGCGTTGTAAAAATCGTAAAGTGAAGATAAACAGATTGTATGATATTTGTATGCAAGATTGTTACTTGAACAACAAAAAGTTTTGAAGAGGTCGGTGTTTGAGCTACTACATGTAATTTGTATTGTTTGAAGGGACTCTGAGCTATAATAATGTTTGTTATCTCCGTATATTTCATATAATTATATAAAAGGTTTAATTTAAATGTTAAGACAATTGTCTTCTTTAAATGTGATCAACAGAAATAATGGATTGATTTTGTTTAATTCGTTTTTAATAATTTTCATCAAATTCTCAATTTTCAAGAGGTTCTATACACATACCATGAATATCTTTTTTAAAAATATCTTTCGCATTATCTTTTTCAACACACTGAAGCCAAAATTATTTTATTGATTATAAATTAAAACAGGAGAAAGGCGTTTAAATAAATCAGATTTTACTTGCTTTGGTAATGTGTTGCGTCGACGATTTATTCAAATTTTGCCCCAACATCGGTCTCCATGAAAGCTCTCATTTTATAAACAGTAATAATTACTACAAAGATGGCAGTAAGGATATAACTGAAACAAACTCTGGTGACAGGCTTCTTCTGAAAATCTGAAAACAAGAATAAAACCAATTTAATTAGTAGGAATACCTGCTTCTAAGACAGACTAACCTGTTTAGTAATGTCATTGTCTGTTGTAAGTGGAATATGTTTAGGATAGAAAAATAGTCGAACAAAACTCTTCATTTCATCATCACGATGCTCTCCTACACCAACACTTGTCATATTTAACAAGGTGGATCCAGGATCTGAAAATCATTCTCAAAATGAACTCCTCAGTATCAACTACGTAGATCGGTGTCCATTTATTGCATTAGTGAAAAACATATCAAAATATTCCAATTTTTATGCACTGATGTACCAGTTAACGTAAATTATAGAATAATTATATATACATGTACTATTTAAATAACTAAAAAGAAACTGGTTAAAGATGTCCTCCCTGTCTTACTCCATTGCAACAAAAAAAATTCCGTCAACGATCTATTCATCCAAATTTACAACTATAATGAAGTACTAAATATTGTATTAAAAAATGTGACGGAGAGACAAATACACATTAGTCCAAATATTCATATCTTTTACAATTTTGTCCATTTGATATTCTACGGATATAAACCATGCCTTATAACATTATTCAAACAATTTTGTAAAATTAAGAATATTGTATACATAATTTTCATAAATAGTGTAAATTTATCATTAATTGAAATCTTAAATGATATTGGAATTTTAACACATAAATACATATACTAAGAATTAAATTTCAAAGAACAAAAACTGGTAAGGAACATATTATCGTTTTGGTTTTGCTTTTTGTAATTTTGAATAAACCCCAAGTTCTAAAAATATTGATGAATAATAAAATTTGAAAACAAAACACGTAGTACGTTTCTCTATGTCATGTTTCCTCATGGAAACTGGGGGCTCTCAAAAATTTCAAAGCAGTTTGAAGTGACTAGTTTTATAAATATAGGGACTGTGAATGAGCAAAATTCAATACGTACAGAAATCTCCATTGATGTTTGGTTTTGGCACTGTAAAGTTAAGCTCAATAGTTGGATATGAATGCTTCTCATCCAAATAATTTCTGTGCCGTCTTCTGACCACTCGTATTGAAGTCAACTCAGAAGGATCACAGTCAAAACAACGGCTTAGATTTCCAAGTGTTTTATAATATTCTTCCCATCCTGTAGAAAAAAATGTATATCGAACATATTATATTTCTATTATCAATATTTCTTTGATTTAAGTATATTATAAAGGAGAATGCTGACTCCGTGATGAGATTTTGTTTACCTTTCTTCCTCTTTATCTGGCATGGAAGAACAGTATCTTTCTCAATATTTTTCCTTGGCTATAAATACCAAAAAAGCAAAATGTCAATAAACTTACAAATTCTAAATTCTATAAATATTCATAGCGGTTTTCTTCAAAGGTTAGCGAATAGTTTGGAAGAAGAGTTCCATATTTCAAAGGAAATGAAATTTATCTTCTAGAAAAGTTTCTTTTGAGTCTTTTTTTTTTGCATGAAAGCAATTCGTTACATTTCATGTTAATGCTGACAATCTTTAATTATATTCGCATTCAACTTACTAGTATTTGTAAATACTTAAGTGAAACCTTAATTGCACACTATATTGTGCGGTTGTAACGATAACCCAGGGGAAAGGGAAGGTCCCCCACTCCCCTAATACTTTTTAAATGCGCCCTGCTACTTTAAATTTTAGGAAAAACCCTGCTATCGTGTTCTTTTATCTTCACTGTTTAATATAATTTCAATTGCAAGGTCAGACGAGGAAATATTTGGCCCACATTTTATTGTTTAAGTAAAACATAGAGATACGCCATTCTATGTTTCACCCGAACATGGACACTAGCGCATTTTCTGACGGTCTAATATTGAATTTTTTGTTTATTTTCTTATCTTTATTATCGTATACTCCTGAAAAAGAGATATGCTTACGTAGACAAACTCAACCAGGAAGAAAATATGACTGAACAAAATTGAACCATTCCTCTGAACATTTTGTATTCCACAATATACCCACGATGGATTTCTTCCTTATTAAGAACAGGGTCTGATGAAGAATTAAGAGGTCAAAATTTATTTACCGTATAATAAGGACGTGTTTAAAGTCCTTTATAGAAATATCTTTTTTTCCATTGTAGCATTTGAAATGCACTTTAAATGGTTTTAGGACTGGTCGTTTGTTTCTAGCTGAAATTATTGACATCATATATTATAAAGCAAATACAGATTAAACTTAAAAACCCACTTAAATTAGGTGCGGGTATGGTTTATTTTCTAAGAAATGGATATAAATCTGGCCACTCCTGACGATCAGAAAAAACTGCCGTTAGTCGAATGTACTGATCGAGTAGATTGAGTACTTTGTATGGTCAAATTTAATATCAAATTAAAACTCAGAGTCTGACCTTACAAATGGTAGAATCCAACGATTAATTGAATTTACAGCTAAACTCATAGATTAATTCGACTGTAGAATTTGTTAAAAGCTTGTTGTAGACTATAGGATGTTAAATTCCCTGTTACATCAATGTATTTGTCAGTAGTGTGTCATGTCTTAAAATTTGATCGTATCCAGAGAATGTTTATCAAATGTGTTGGGAGACATAAATCACATATATACAAACGATGTTAGAGTAAATTAAAGTTACAAAAGTGAGGGAAGGACAATGGAAAAACTATTCAAACATTTGAGTGGCCGTTACTATTCCTCCTCATGGCATAAACGTCGTCAATATTATAAGGCAACATTGATTGCAACATTGATTCTTTTATCTAATAAGGAGTGGATATTATTTAAGCAATAAAATGCTTTCTTTGTTTGTTATTACTGGAATAAACGGAAGCAGCTGTTGCTGAAAAAATACATAACCCACGTAATTTTTTTCTGCAATAGCTGCGACCATTAATTCTAGTAATAACATACAAAGAAAGACATTTTATTGTTTATATTTATATCTGTTTAAATTATCATTTAAAGAAGGATTAAAAAGATTAATTATTGTATTAATTATGCTAATGTCTTTATACGTTCCATTGATGGAGCAGCCACTGATCAAGAAATCTGTACAGGCGACATGCCTACTGTAGTTCATGCAGTGATTAACGCAATGGGTTTTCTTAAGAAATAAAGGAGAAAATATTCAGTGGATGTAAATATTGCCCAATCCGCACCCTGGGCATTAAACTCATGATTAATATGAGAAAAACATTATCGGGGAACTGTTAATTATAACAAGAAATCCATGTAAATGCAAGAGAATAATTTTAATTTTCACAAATGTTGGTGGTTTTGCTTGCATCATTTAGACTGCTCATGCAGTGTGGTGGAACTATGAAATTCGAACATATTTTAAAACTCTACGTACGGATATCAAGAAGTGTATTTAGTTTCATACAGAAGGCTGGATTAGTCGAAAGATTACGACCGATGAACATCCATAGGACTTTCATATTAAATGTTTTTCTTGTGACAAGACCCTTCCATGGTTACCAAGAACTTGACACTTTGGTCTTAGAGTTTGACCTATGTTTGGAAAAACTTAACCTTAGCCATATACACATGTACATGGGTGTATTCCTTGTAAGATGGAAACATTTACACACTGTGTGACTATACTCAAATCACTTACGTGGCTTTGTTTACAGTGTACTATAACAGTATTAGTAGATGATTGGCAGCAATTTCAAAGTGATGTCGACCAATACACTATACGTGGTATACGTAATATATTATTCTCTTTGGAGAAGTGAACATGCAGACTTTCGAATTCATCCATATATTACATGTACATATATACAGCAAACATAGGCCGTCACCCGGGTTCTACATTTTATGCGATTTCCAGAAGCAAAAAATGAAAGCTTGCAAAGTTGATTTAGGCGAAAGTCGTTTCTCTGAAGAGTTTTAAAAGTTAGAGAATATATTTGATATATAAAATTTGAATAATCATGACATATATAATTGAAAATGAATTACCGGTATATTAAAATTATTATTTATTTTCTTCTTTATTGTTTAATACAATCATTTTGCGTAATAACATGAATTAACCACTCTTTTCTGATCCACTTTGAGGACTTACCCCCACGCTACAATTCAGGTTGTGTAATGTTCTCTCACAATAATCAGCCAGTCCGACAGGTAGATTCATCGGTAATGGATTTATATTGGGGCAAGCCTGGGGTATACATTTGACCAGGTGTAACAGTGTCCAGACCAGCAGATTAGACCACCGTCCGTACGAACTCCCCATGTCCTGTCCCTCCGCCAACCACCATAAGCATGACTACAGGTAAATCTCAATAACATTGAACAGGAAGTAAATGTGATTGGCTGAAATACACAACAAAGCGGTGTACCCGTAAATAGGTCAGGTTAGGACAACTGTTATAAAGACAGACCCTGGTTTACGGAAATAATTAAATATCTTTTAATGTGTATTTTCGACAGGCATGATCATTGGAATAAAATATATTGTTTTCATGAAGAAAATTATCAACAATTAATTTTCAAACTAAATATATATTCCAGAGAGCGTTAGGGGAATTCCCATTTTATTAATATCAAAAGATAACACGTCTGTCTGATATACAATACACAAAGGTTCTCTCTCTCTCTCTCTCTCTCTCTCTCTCTCTCTGCGTCCCAGAGAAGGAAAGGAGGATGTGAGAACGCATAGGAGCATCAGGCAGAAATTTTAGGGAATTGTTTTCTTACGCAGAACAAAATGTTTTGGCAAACAAATCGGCTAGATTCAATTTCAATTTTAGCAAATAGAATATTAAGTATGTATAGTTCTTACATTTCATCTTGCATAAATTAAAAATATTTTTAAAAACCAGATATATAAAACATGTAAAACCTAGCTTGAAATGTTTTAGTTTATTCCCCTTCCTTGTACATGTTGTAAATTAGAGAGAGTTTCATTTGTTGGTGGAGAATTGAGTCTCTCTCTCTCTCTCTCTCTCTCTCTCTCTCTCTCTCTCTCTGGTAGTAAAAAAGGGATTGTGCGAGAAATCAAAGGAGTATCAAGCAGAAATTTGAGGAATATTATTTCTTATGCACAAAGAAATTTCAATTTAGCAAATCGGCAAAATTTCAATTTCAGCATATGGGAATATAAATTTAATTTCAAGATCCTTACCGCATATACTCGTATATTAGAAAGGGCGTGACTGGAATTCCGATCTAAATAATGAAAAAAAACTACACAAATGCACACATAGCAAAGGAATATTACTTCTTGGAGTTCTTTTTTAGCATGTTTAGCTCTCTATATCTTTTAATTTCATTCAAGTACTCATAGCGAAAAATGTTGAAATTATTCTCCAAAAATTCGAAAAGCCTAATTTTATTCGTGGTTCATGCATGATATATAAGCACATGGATATTTCACAAACTACCCAGTGCTTATATATCCGATGAAGAACCTTCATTTTTAATAGAAATCCGGATTAAATGTTGCTTTTCTTTGTAATAAATAAATCCATAAATAAATGGAGTTCGTATATGATTTGCTTGATATTCTCTCTCCAACACGATCTGTATACAGAAAACAACCAAACACGCTTATACCTTGTATAAGTAACATAGGTAAAATTGAATCATGTGGCCTTCGTTCTTGATGACATGACCCAGAGATAAAGAGATCAATACTATGATATTGCTTATTTGCGACTTCCTTGATCATTTCGCGGAACATGAAATCTAAAGAGCAAGTACGCTTACTCCCTGCATTTATTATGTGTACAACGAGTTTCTGTTTCGGTCGAGACTTTTTTTATTTCAAATTTAATTGTTTGTGATGAATTTGATTCGGATTTTGGTTGATAAAGAACATAAAGACGTTTACCAAAAAAAACAGAAAAAAAAACATCAAAATAATATTTAAGTGGTGACTTAGTCTCTTGGTTAAGCAAGAATAAAGCTCAGGATGAATTTCAGTAACTGAATTCTCAGTAGAATAATGATTTATTTGTATTTTATGTGAAAAGGTATGTATCCTTAGTTCAAACATGACACAAAAATGAAGAAATTTCTGGCATGATATATTTATTTGCAATCATTTTGTACATTCTAAATTTACCCGATGGAAGTTATCACGTGTTATATTTTGCATTTAACTATTCCTATATCGTAAATTAAAAAAAATACACATTTTATTTCAATAAATTCTAGACATTTGGTCGATTGACTAAAAACTTTTTTTCAAATTGGGAAAGTTTAGACCATTTTTAAAAACAAAATTGAGCTACACAAGCATACACTTTGCCTACTATGAAACTGGTAAAGTTTAAGAAGTATTTTATTCATAATATACAAAGTGTACAATATGAATATGGATTGAACAGCAGGCCAAGGGCCTATATTAGTTCTCTCAATTAGAGACCAAGGTACAATTAAATTACTTTACATATTTTAAGTTCCACAAAACATGTATTATAGATTAATATTGAGAGAATTATAAAGAATACATAATTGAAGAAAAGTTGAGGGGAAAAATGCGTAAAGAAAACAATAAAATAAATTTTAAAAACTGCTAGATACTGTAAACCCCTATTCCTAGAGAAAACGTTAATGCTATTCATGTAAATTATTTGTTAAAGACAAGAAACATTCTGTTCTTTATTGTCCAGGGTATGACCAATATAGATGCAATTATAATGATATATTTAATGAACATTAGTGATAACCCCATTGGAAAAATTGTCAATCCTACAAATATTTCAACTGCTAGACGGATATGTTGTCAGGCACGTAGCAACGGGGGGGGGGGGCAATTTTTTTCAAACATAGCTTAAACTATTGAAATGTTCATTGAAAGACTGGTTCCCCCTCCCACTTTTAGCTAAAGTAAAGTGATATAAGGATGTAGTTATTGTATGAAGAAAATTTGATACTGAAAGACGTATGTGTTGAAAAAAGTTTGCCCTCACCCCCCCCCCCCCCCCCCACACACACACACACACACAGACACACGAAATATGATTTTCGAGTTTGGGCAAATTTTCCTTTTTTTTCTTTGCTTGTCAACTTTTTTCAGGAAAGTATTTTTTTTTCTTTGGCTGCCCCCTCCCACTTTCAAAAACGATGCTACGTCACAGGTTGTTTCTTGAAAAAGTGCTTTGACACTGGAAGAGAAATTCAAAAATGAATATTAATATTGAGAAACATAAATTATTTTGTTCTCCTCATATTTGTCACTTTGTATAGTATATGCATGTATTGAATTATATTCTTCAAACTTTTATCCGCAACATCCTTTGAAGATTAAATCATAGGCGTCGGAACTGGGAGGGGGCTTATAACTTTATAAGCCACCCCCCCACTTTTTTGCAAAAAATATACATAATATAGGCATGGAAAATTGGGGTTAACCTTTTTTTGTTGGTTTAGCCCCCCCCCCCCACTTTCAATTTGCTTCCGACGCCTATGTTATCGAAGGAGTCCTCCCACATATATGTATGTGTTGAAGTGTTAATTGAGATTTGTATGAAAGAGAACAGTCACATATTAATTCAATATATAAAGAAAAAAAATTCAGCCAGTTTGTTTTTTTTTAAGATATTCAAGGCACTAATTGAAAAGAAAATTTAAAGTTTTTTTTGTGCAAACCCAATTAAACTATTCGTTCGATAAAAGTTATCAATACGTAGCTTTATCGAAGGAGTCCGTCCACATACATGTATATGCATGTGCCGGAGTGTTAATTGAGATTTGTATGAAAGAAATCAGTCACATATAAATTAGATGTAAATTTAAAAAATCACCCATTTTGATGTTTTAAACAAAGATATTCAAGGCACTAATTGGAAGGAAAATTTTGCGATTTTTTTTTGCGCATACCTAAACTAGTCTTTCGATAAAAGAAATTATCAATACGTAACTTTGTCGAAAGAGTCCGTCCAGATAATTCATTGATTTGCATGAAAGAGAAGTAGTCATGTATTTATTAAATTTGAGTTAAATATTTCATTCACTCCGTTTTTAATTAAAACACTAAATAAAAGAAGTTTATAATCATATTCTTAATTTTTTACAACAAAATGACTAAGTTCATTTTGATCGGATAATTTGCTAGCCACCACAATGTTTTACACTGCATTGCAGTAGAGTGCAGTATGGTGTACTTCTTCTTATATTTCAACAAGCACAAATAATTTACTAGTCCACGATTTTGAAACATTTCCCACCATCCACCCTCCAATGTTACCCTAGCTTTATATACAATTTTCTCTTGCGGCTGATTCGAAGTTGCAAATTTTGCATAATGTCAGTTTCATACAAAGTTCGATAATCAAATTATGCCCCTTCGAACAACGTAGACAAAACGATTATGCAAATGTTCAAGCAAAACTAATGAATATTAGGCTTGTATACTATATAAGACTAGAGAGTCACTCACGAAATAATTCTGGTCTAACACATGTTTTTGAGTTTATCGCCTGACATCACGGCGTCAGGCACTACTAAGGATCAATATTTCCTAGGTGCGAAGCTAAGAGGTCACAGTTAGTCAGCAAAATTTTGTACATGGTGATTACCTTCGGATTTTGTTACATGCGTTTCAGCAATAACAGTCAGCAGAAAAATAACCACATTGCAGATACAACACATTGATGTATTTATTTCCTTTAGCTTAAATTTTAGCTAGCAGCTAGATATTTCGTGCGAGTTCTTATACGGACATGTCCGTTTGACCTTTTTTCTGCGTTTCTATACTACTGGATTAGTTCGTTTGTCTTTTATGTAAGGGGTGACAAAATCATTTCGCGCCAAAATGTCACGTGTGAGTTTTTCAGCCCTTTTCCTGGATTATTCTATTGGATGGAAATGAAAACTGCATGAATGATATAAAGTATGTTCGTTTTTGTCGGAATCATGGTTGAGGTGTGGAAAAAAAAACATATCGGTGATATTGTGAAAAAAGAAAAGAACGATTTGATTGGTTCTTTATTACGTTAGCATGTGCGGTAGGCATCAAAAGCCAGAAAGTTAATTTGATCTCCAGACAAGGTACACAAGATAGCAAACTAAATGGCAATCAAATCAAAGTATCCAATCCCAACAAAGCAGAACAAAACAGAGTATATAGACTCATGAAAGTGTCCTCTCACATTTCAGGATTGAGAAACTTTATTACCTTTTTTGCTGTTAGAAATATTTTTGATGTGGACCCCTCATCCCTGGGAAAAACTTTCAGAATCCGCGCCTGCATGCCGCCATTCATATATCGCCGTCAAGTTTGTTGGGTCATTAATTTAAGCATATATAGGGCTTTTAAATTATTTATCCCACGTT